AACACCCCCCCCCCCCCCCCCCCCCTTAGGTTTCAGTGTCTTTCTTCTTCACCGCCAATAAATACCCCTTCCTCTGTCTCAGTTTCCTCTTCGGTCTTCCACTCATTCGCTCTCATTTTATCTTTCCATTTCTCCTTCCCGTTCTTTGTTTTCGTCGATCTTCGTCAACCATGGCACAAGAACCAGTTAGAGTCCTTGTCACTGGAGCTGCAGGTACTGTACTGAAAACATTCCATTTCTTTCTTTTCGGTTCTACTTGATCTCAGATCTTATCTGATTTCCAACCGCAACTGCTCTTGGTTTCTTTTGTCTTTTTGTGTGTATGAGATTGAGATCTGATACTGTTGCTTACCGCATCTATTGGTGTTTGGTTTGAGTATTCCATCAGATCTGTCGGTTGTAGTTCATTTCTTAAGTTTATGCTATGAACGTTGTTATTAGTTTTCGTTTTTACTGGCCGTTTTTGGATAAGGTTAAGGAGATTTATCTTTTTCTTTATCGTTTTCTATCAGATGTAGTTCTGTCATGGAAGTGTTTGTGTTGCTTTTGTTGATCATCGAGTTTTCTAATGAATGTCGAAAGATATAGGCGGAGAGATGATGTGGATCTAGACCAGTACACGTTGATTAGTTCTTTTAACTCCTTACTTTTGTGCTCGTGCTTGTTCATACAGTTCTTGAATCAAGTTTATTTCGATAAAAGGTTTATTGTTGGCCCAGTCTTTTAGAGAAGTCAATTACCAGCTTTTTCTTTTTGCTTATATGGTCCTCTAACGAACTTTATTTCGATATTTTCATACGAACTGGTCTGTTTGGCTGACTCCAATATTTTCATACGAAGTAATGCATTCACTCATTGGGTTTCAGGACAAATCGGATATGCTCTCGTGCCTATGATTGCCAGAGGAGTATTGCTAGGATCTAACCAACCTGTCATCCTGCACATGCTTGATATCCCACCTGCTGCAGAGTCTTTGAATGGCGTAAAGATGGAGTTGGTGGATGCTGCTTTCCCACTCCTCAAAGGTATATATATAAAGGATCCGTTATTGTGAGTGAGTCGCACGTTAGATAATTTAGTGGAAGATCATGAGTTTATAAGTGAGAAATACTAACTTTATTGGTATGAGGCTTTTTGGAGAAACCCAAAGCAAAGTCATGAGGGCTTATATTCAAAATGGACAATATCGTAGAGATCCATGATTTCTAATATGGTATCAGAGCTATACCCTAAATTTAGCCATGACAATAGAATACTCAAATATCGAACAAATAATTGTGAGCCTCGAAGATGTAATCAAAAGTGACTGATTAAAGTGTCGAACAAAGGATATACTTTGTTTGAAGTCTCTAGAGAAAGGAGTCGAACCTCGATTAAGGAGAGACCCTTGAAATTTATCGTACCATTGTGGAGATCCATGATTCCTAACATATAAATTGCTAATATCTAACAAACTCGTATGGATTTTGGGATTTTCTTACTATTTATGGATGTTTAATGCATTGTTCTAGGTGTTGTTGCTACAACTGATGTGGTGGAGGCATGCACTGGTGTCAACATTGCTATTATGGTTGGTGGATTCCCAAGGAAAGAGGGTATGGAAAGAAAGGATGTGATGTCAAAAAACGTCTCCATTTACAAGGCTCAGGCTTCTGCCCTTGAAAAGCACGCTGCTGCCAACTGTAAGGTAAGTAACTTGCATCAATTTAATTCCATTACGTAATCCAGCCAAACTTGTTTTTTTTAGCACTAACAATGTTTGGTAAGCAATTGTAAGACGTAGGTAACTGCACCCAAACAGCACTAAAAAACAAAAAAACAGAAGTTTATAGAATGAAGAGTTTGACACGTTACGAACTGTTGTTGAACTGGACTAAAAAATGTGCATGCATGCTAATATTTTTCTAAATAATTTTACTGAAAAGTCGTGTTGTTTTATTTCTTTCTATTTCCTTTTAGTCATTACGTTTGAATGGTCAGACATCTGACTCTTTGTTTCCTAACTCTTGCAGGTGTTGGTTGTCGCTAACCCGGCAAATACTAATGCATTGATCTTGAAGGAGTTTGCTCCTTCCATCCCGGAGAAAAACATTTCTTGCTTGACGAGATTGGATCATAACAGGGCATTGGGTCAAATTTCAGAGAGATTGAATGTTCAAGTATCCGAAGTTAAGAATGTTATTATCTGGGGTAACCATTCATCAACACAATACCCTGATGTCAACCATGCTACTGTCAAGTTACCATCTGGGGAGGAGAAATCTGTCCGCGAGCTTGTTGCTGATGATGCATGGTAGAGTTTCTGTACAATATTCGTCTCTAAGTTTGATGAGATGCAATTAGACTAATGTATGGTTGTTTTTCATTGAAGGTTGAATGGAGAGTTTATTAGCACTGTTCAACAACGAGGTGCTGCAATCATCAAAGCCCGAAAACTCTCAAGTGCATTGTCTGCTGCTAGTGCAGCTTGTGATCACATTCGTGATTGGGTTCTTGGAACTCCGGAGGTTGGTGATTTTGCCTTTGTCTTGAACTTTGTGCATTTCAAATGCTGACTAATAGCGCTCATTAAAACTAAATTTCGTTCCAGGGCACCTGGGTTTCCATGGGAGTTTATTCTGATGGATCATACAATGTACCAGCTGGACTGATGTACTCATTCCCCGTCACGTGCCGTAATGGTGAATGGTCAATTGTGCAAGGTATTGTTTTCTTTTTTCTTTTAGTTGATTAATATGGGGAAACCAATTAACTATTAACAGGGTCTCCAATATCCTCCCTAAAAATAGATATTGTTTTTTTTTTAACTTTTGTGTCTGAGTTTGGATCAAAATTTTTAAATGGCATTTCTAGGGAGAGTTTTCCTCACCTTCAAGGGTGTTTTGTTCTCCTCCCCAAGTGGGATCTCACAATCTCCACCCCTTTGGGGGCCAGCGTCCTCTACGTGTCCGGTGGATTGACACCCCTTTTTAGATTCCAGCATCCTTGTTGACACACCCCCTCGTACACACCCCCTCGTATCCACTCCCTTTTGGAGCTTAGCCTCTTCGTTGACACATCGTCTGGTGTCTGGCTCTAATACCATTTGTAACGATCCAAGCCCACCATTGGCATATATTGTCCTCTTTGAACTTTCCCTCTCAAACTTTCTATCAAGGTTTTTAGAACCCATCTAGGAAGAGATTTTCACTTCCTTATCAAAGTTGTTCTCCTCCATCGAAGTGAGATGGAAAAAGAACAAATAATAATAATAATAATAATAAATAAATAAATAAATAGGGAGATGATTTGTTTTTTTTAAAATTTCCTATTCTGCAACTCCATGCTGAGATTTCTTCCATTTCTTTGTGATCCTTTCTGGATCCTCCAGGCCTTTCCATTGATGAATTCTCAAGGAAGAAACTGGACTTGACCGCCGAGGAGCTGACCGAGGAAAAGGCTTTGGCTTACTCCTGCCTCTCCTAAACAGTTGGTCCCTGGCCCCTTCCCGTTGGTACTAAGAGAGGTGTGGCTCTTAATTGAAGTACTTTCTTTTTAGTGGCTACAGTTTTGATTGAATAATGGCATCCTTAAGAACAGCTATGGAGGAAGCAGAGAAACAGGACAATATCTTCTGCTTTCTGGTATTTATGCATTTCCCTGGTTTCCCTTTTTGTTGAGGATTTTTCATTTCCTTACTGCTTCAACCCATCAACGGCCTGTTTATGTGATGAGTTTTACATGAACTTTTGTTGATCGGACTCATATAATATTACCCATCAGAATAATTTCTTCCAATTTGTCCCGGGATTTTTTGTTGTTTGTTCTTGAGAATCCACTTCCGAGAATAATTTCGTCTAAACATGAATTTAAAATTGAAATACTAAATATTTTTTAAAAATTAAATTAAAAAAATTACACTAACTTAGGGTCATTTTGAAAGCTTATATTACATCATATACTATTATTACCCATTAGATGTACATTTTATTTCCAATTAGATTTCCAAGATTTCTTATTAGCCTAGTTTTACTATAAAAAAAAATATTACTAAAAAAAACTTAATTAAAACATATATATATTGAAAAAATATTTCCTCTATTTATTAAAATAGCATTCTTAGTTGTCAGTTTACCTTAAAGAAAAAGAAAACAAAAAGAAAGAAAAGTAAACAGAGGCCAAAAGAAGAATCTGGAAAAACAATAGCTTCGGAACCAAACCTCAGATGCGGAATGCGAGCCTAAGTCTGAGTCGGAGCCTCGGAAGACTCTAGATCCGAACCGTATGCCCGTAACTGAACTAGCTAGGTTAAGAAATTCAACTCAATTTGCGGTCCAGTAGCATTCAGATCTCGGCCCACAGCCCACGCACCGACCCAGACACAACTCCAATACCCAGCCCACGACCCAAACCGACCCGATCTAGTACCTGGGTCAACCCAAACTGACTCGCTGACCCGGAATCCAACCCGAAGTTGTATTCCACATTCGGCGCGCGTGCAGCTTGGATTTTCTACTTGTGTTGGCTATGGCTTAGCCCAGCCGACTCCTCAATTTGGCTACACGACTTGACGACTCCAGCTTAGTTTTCTCGGTCTAGGCTGCTTAGGTTAAAGTCTGATGACCCCATTATACCCCTTATATCATTTTGGACTGTTTCGAAGCCGTTTTTGATGATTTTGGCATATGCCAACCAATTAAATGACTTTCTCTTGGTCTGATTACATGACTTGTTTATTGTACGAATGACACGTGTCATGTTTTATGATTGTTTGATATGTGCTATGTTATGTTAGTGTTGTGGTACAAGTTATGCTAAGTTATATGTTACTATAATATGATTATGCTACGTTATGAAATTATGTTTGTGTTATCAATGTTGTATGATGCATGAACCTCCATGTGTCACATTATTAAACTATGTTAATATGTTTGCTATATGCTTACGAGACATCAGAAAGACATGTATGTTAATTAAGAAAGGCATAGTCTCAGAGAATTGTTATATCCAAAAAATGGAGATACGACTTGCATCATAAGTATATGCCATGTTTTGATTCCATCGGACCTCGTGCATTTTATATGTCAAGTGTATCAAGATTCTTCTCCGTTATAATTAGTACGGACGTGTGCACTACGATTCATGTACATCATGATATTATTTGTGTTCCTTTCCCTCCGTGGCTTCCGACCGTGTGAGTGTACGCTAATATGACAGATAGTCTCAGGGGTACATATATGAGCCCACTTGGTGGGTCCATATGTGCATGTGTGGGCGGTGTGTAGAGAAATACTACACATTAAATTCTACTTGGATGGGAAAGTAAAGACCAAAACCATGATGTTCTATAAAAGGATAGGTCTCACTATGATTACATGTGCTTGCATTTTGCAACCCAAAATCGGGACTTATTCAATATTTTTAAATACTCAAGCTACATGCTACTTACGTTTCAAGCAAAGGTAAAACACCCTCGTACGAATGATGTCGTCACTATGCAGGCTATAGACAGGATAGTTATATTTTCTATTTAAGTTGTAGCCCTTAGATTAGATCGTGACATTTTCTTTAATTTGAAAATATTGTTATTTAATTGATATTTACTTTTATTTCAAATAAATTTTGCAAACATTAAAGTCGATGAAGTCTGCATTTGAATATTTCTAAACAAATTTTTACGCATATTAAGCACGTCATGAATATAGTACCAACTTTATTTTACAAGTAAAAATAGGGTCGTTACAACTTCCTCATCCCCGCCTCATCATGGACATCTCTACTTGGATCGACCCCTTATCTTGTTGATCTTGTACGATATATGACTCTTAGCTCGTTAATCTTGTTCAAGAGTCGATTGAAGTATGAATAACTTGTTCGCTTAAGATATCTTCATCTTGTTTTCGAAGTTTTTCAGACTTTCGAAACCTTCTACTTCCCGAACTCTTCTAATCCTCCGAGCGTCTTTAGTTCTCGGGCTTCGGACTTCGTAAAGATGGAATTAGAAAAAAGAAAAAGGTGGAGTTTATGATTGCCCCATTCATTTTTTTTTTCCCCCAAAAGGTGGAATTAGAAAAAAAAAATATAGAAATAAAGAATTCATTTTTTTCTTTTCACTTGAAAAAGAATATACAAATCCCAATCACTCATTTTGGACTACTATTCACATCTCCAAATTTCTCTCAAATTTCTCTCAAATTTCTCTCAAATTTCTTTAAATTTTCTCTTTCTCACCACTTAATTCCCACTAAATTTCTCGTAATTTTCATCTGAAATTGGAAATATGTCTCAAAATTCTGGCAGTTCTGAAATTCCTCCAGCTTGGACAAAAACGTTGTACCAAAATTCCATGTCATCATCAACAACGCTTTCACCATTACTCTTATCCATGGAATTTGAATTCGTCGAATCCTCAGCCACCTCGGACCAAAAGCTCTCGTCGATCGGCGGTGGAGCCTCCGTGCCCTCGTCCGGGTAGCTGTAGTACTCATTTTCAGCCATGGAAGCATCTGTGAGTGATGAAGAGATCTCACAGCTTGAAGATTGTTGTGAAGAAGGGGACGTTATTGAGGAATAATTGGCAATTTGGGTTTGATTTGTAATGTTAATAACAATGGATGAAGAAGATTCTGATGAAGTTTTTGGTTTTATTTGTTTTTTTCTTTTGTTTTCCGATGTGGGAGCCTTTGTTTTGATGTTCTTTTCTAGCCTTTTCTTCAAGTGAGTGTGCCAAACATTCTTTATTTCATTGTCTGTACGACCAGGCAGCTTAGCTGCTATCGCCGACCATCTATAGTAACCAAAGAAAAAAGTCAGACCCAATTTAACTAGATACGAAGATTTAAACCTTTGACAGTAGCAAAACTATATTTTTACCTATTTCCGAGTAATTCGTGTAGGTTAATAATGGCGTCTTCTTCTTCTTTAGTAAAGTTGCCTCGCTTAATATCAGGTTTCAAGTAGTTTGTCCATCGAAGTCTGCAACTTTTTCCGCATCTTAAAAGACCTAGAAGAAATAATAGAAAAGGAGAAAATCACTAAAAATTCAATCCTTTTTTTCGAAATAAGATGAGGTTAGTAAATTTAAGACATGGGTTTTTGATTTTCTGTTTGGATGCCAAGAAAAACCCCGAGAAAATCACTAAAAATCCAATCTTTTGTTCGAAACAAGATGAAATTAGTAAATTTAAGACATGGGTTTTTCTGGGATTTTGATTTTCTGTTTGGATGCCAAGAAAAACCCCGAGAAAATCACTAAAAATCCAATCTTTTTATGAACCCACAAACAAAAAACTCACCAGCTTGCTTAGGAAGAGCTCGCCAATTGCTATGACCATGATTCTGAATAAAGTTAGTCAAAATCCTGTCTTCTTCAGGAGACCAAGGGCCCTTCTTCAACCCCATTTTCTCACAGCAAGGAGCTCTCACCATTATCGTTCTTCGTTCTTCGTTCTTCGTTCTTCGTTCTTCTTCTCTGGTTTATTGTTCTTCTTCGGGCTCTCGAACGGAGTCTGAACTGAGAGACTCGACGAGATCCAAAGAAGATGAATTCAAATCAATATTTATAGAATTTGAGTTAATGAAGAAATGGATGTTTACAAATCCAAAATGTTGTGCTTTGAATAAATAATAGTCTAAGTCGACGAAAACAGCTACGTAGAAATAGAGGTTGGGGTAATTTCCACGAAGGGGAGCTTAGATTTATAGAAAGGACCAATCCTAGCCCACCAAAATTAGGGATTTTTTAATTAATTAATTATATATATAAAAGTGGACAATAGTGTTTTTTTTTTTTTTTTTTTTT